ATTGAAAACTTCCTTCACCATCATCGTGTCGATGAAGTTTACACCACGTTCTTTAGTTAAAACATCCTTCGTTGTTATTTCATGGCAATGTAATTCTAGTTCAGGTGATTTATACATATCTTGATGCGGTTTTCTTCTAGGGCCTACCAAACCGCATCCTACCATCCTGGAGCAGTTCATATCGCATAGGGGTCGCGAGGATTTTTAGGAATGACCTCACGTGTCTTGATCACTTGAACACAATTATTACCAATAAGAAGCCAATTGACATTTCGTCACGATATTTCGGAATCTCATCTCATTGGCTATTGAACGTAGATGACTCCAGGTTCTTGCCATTTCTACTTGCAGAACTTGATCTCTTCAAGCTGAAATAGTTTCACGAGAAAATGCCATTGGTAAAGATATTCTCATAGAGTTGTCTTCCGGTGATAAAAGTAAGCCGGTAATCTTTTCAGCAACAATATCTTCCACTGCATTCATTGTTCCAAGTTTAATCATTGTTTCAGGACCACTAACATCCAATTCCTTACAGACTTTGGCAGTTACAAAGCAAGAGTCACTCTGATCATCCAAAACAGCATATGTTATCATCCTTTTATTTGAATTGTCCTTGTGACTAACAAACACTGGGAGAATCAGTGACGATGTAGTTTCGTCCAGACTATCACTGGCATGGCATACACTAACTCGGATAGCAACTCTTGTCTTAACGGTATCTTCCTTCGACTCCCTTTATGTTCTTTCCAGAGACTTGTTCTCCGAAACTTTATCTTTCTTGCATTCAAAATGAAGAATCGTCGCATGAGGTTTATTACACTTATCGCATTTAACGGTTTCTGTAAACTGTTTGGCCACATGGCCACGCCAAGGCAGAGATAGAAAAGCCCTTTTGACTTGGCCACCCACTTTGGATATGAAAGTATGTTACCACTAAAATTTGGGGGTTTTAGAATGGGTAATGAAATTATTTTCATCAGTTCGACTTGCTGCCTTTGAATCTCAATTGTATCAAGTTGTATTTACTCAAATGATCAAGTAGGGGGTTGTTGGGTAATAGTTTTGTTATAGGTGGTAGTTTGTATAAATGTAGGCTGGGTTGGACCTAACAAATGAGTACTCTTCTTATCTTAACAGAGATTCTTTAGCACAGTTTCAATTTCACCCACTGAAGAAACCTTTGAAACTATATCCTTATGTTCTTCATTAACAACTTCAATATTCGTATTACCTTCAGGTATAACATTGTCGTTCCCCATGAGGGCTTGATACATGGCGCCTGCAGCATTAATATCACCTTGCAATTGTTCTTGTTCCAATTGCCATTACAGTTTCTTTTTCCGTTGCTTCAACTCTTCGTGCTGTCTTTCTAACTCACGTTTCAACTTAAGTGTGAGCATCTTTTCTTTTAATGCAGCTGCGTTTGCAGCTACCCTTTTTGAAGACAGTGATGACACCCTTGAAGATACGGATGACGAGCTCTAACCTGAGCTTCGGGAAGGGCGGGATCTTTGTGAACGCATTTCTATACGTTCCTGTGTTAAGCCGTCAATCCTTGTTTTAACGTCAGCAGAACACTCAAGAAAGCTCTCTCTAATATCGTTAAAGTACTTATAATCCTCATCAGCAGACAGACCACTAACTATCGTTGCGTCTATCACTTCTTCGTGAAATTGTTTGAGATCATCCATTACCATTACTAAGCCATTTTTGTTAGCCATTAATTTAACAATATCGGTACATTGTTCTCTAAGTAAGTTGTCTAGTATTCCAATCCTTCTTCTCACCGCTGTTCCAGCCAGGCGAGTTTTTGCACGCACATGCTTTGTTAGATTTACTTATTTCTACCATATTATTCTCTTTGTCCGAAGGTTACGACATATCCGTGTCGTTATTCATTATGTATTCCAATTACTCGCCATATTAGCCTCACTGAACATTTCCCAATTTTCTTCGTAAATTTGTGTTTTCGTCGCTCTTCATGTAAAGTTGTGTACTATAAATGTTTTCAAATTCTTTATTCATGTTTCGTTTGGCAGGTAAACAACTTTGCGACCTGCCATCACGTTTTCGTGGCTTGTTATATCCTTTCATGATCGTTCATCAAATAACATGATAGCACAAGTAACTAATTCAATACAAAAACGTTCCGAAGCTCTCCGAGCTGTCATGCATCGACACTTACAATTTATATTATTTATCATTTTATGGTAGAGATTTCTCTGCATTGAAATTATAAATTGTATGATATGTTTAATATATTTAAGTATGCATGATAATTTTAATAAAAAATAAATTCAATCCAGAGAAATCTTTTCTTTAATATATACCAATATTCAAACATATTACGCTCACTGCGCGTTCGTAGTTTGAGCACTGTAGGATTGTGTAAAGAGTCTCATATGGAGACGTTCACCGTGTTCGCGATATGCAAAGCTCACCTTTATAGGTTTGAGCACTGTGGTCACTCTACAAAAAATCCATACAATGTGTAACCGTACGTCCTGTGTCCTAAGTGCAGGAGTCCCCATTTTACTATGGTGGTAGCCGGAAAGGCACATTGTATATACACTTTGAATATTCAAACATATATATATTCATGTATGCATGTGTTATAAATTGAAAAACTTAGGATGATATACTTTTGATAATATATATGTGTGTTATAAGTCTTCAGGGTGAAGCATGCCAGTCCCATATTTTTAAAAACCAGTGGAATTTTGGAAGGGGGAGCACCTGATACCAATGTAGAGAAACAAAGGAGGAAATTTCTAGCTGTCATTTTTCTTCCAGTCATTTGTTGTTGACTTTTCCAAGTGTTTTTTGGTTTTGTACAATGGGGATTGAAACATTTGGTTGTCACTTCCACCATTGTACGAGAACAATAAGTCTCAATTGCTGGCTTACCTGACTTACACTCTGGGCAAATATTGAACAGAAGCAGCAACTGTGATAGGAATACAACAAATTTTGGCTCACTCCAAGGATTTTCATAATCACTAATTGCCATATAAAACAAAAGAACACCACTTTTCAAATTAAATGAAATTGTCAATTTATTGTCAATTTTTAAATTACAAATTTTCTTTTATTCATAATTGCATACCAATATACTTGGACTAAGAACTCAACTGACCATTTATAAACATACTTTAAATGTTCTGGCTCTTCCTCATTACCAGAAGATTACCCTGATTCCGAAAAATCAATTTCAGTGTCATCATTTGCAAAGGAATCAGCAACAGAGAGCAATTTATGCTCGGGAAAAGATGTCTCATAAACTCCAAGTTCTTCGGTGAAATCAGTTCCTTCTTCACTAGAGCTATCTTGTTCTTCCAGGAGTTCAACTTGTTTCTCCATGGATGCAATTTTAGACATACTATCATCTAAACTATCTATAACATTTAATTTGGAAACTGATAGGCCATGCTTTGCATTTATCATCTAGTGCATTTTTTAAACTAACTTTTCTTGTCTTTTATTTTCTTCAGCAAATCGATTATCTTATTTCGCAGTTGCTGACTCTCGTTTGCCAATTTATCACAACATTTTCCTGTTTGTGTTTGAGTGGAGGTTTCTTTGAACTATAAAATAATCAGTATTTTATGAGAGTATAAGAGCGTATCTCATACAAACTATTTATAAGTAAAGAAAGCTTACTCACAAATGATCCTTGCATGTGAGAAGGAGATTCTGTTGAGTGCGGACACTCAAGTAGAGAGACGTCTTCCAAATCTGTATCTATTTGCGTTGTCCTCACATTTTTCTCGTCAACCAGATCAACGATATTTTCAACGACAACGTTTTCCTCCTTAAGCGATTCTCTGACAACCTACTTAACAATATTTTTAGGATAGCAACACAATTTGATATTTACTTTATGATGCTGTCTTGTTACTCTCATGGAAGTAGAACACTCTTCAGGATTTGTTGTCTTCTGTATTGTAGGGACAGCATCATTTTTTAGCACCGCACGACTAACAAATTCTGACCCAAGGATTGTTATAAAAGGACGCTCGAAATCATCTGCCTAAAAATGCTCCGAAAGTTTGGAGCTTGCCGTCGGCCGGGGACCATTTAGCAAGCTTTAAACGGACAAAAGCGACCCACATTCTCCGTCTCTTTCTCCCTACATCGTCGTCCTTCCGATATTTTTAGAAGGGTCAAGGGTATTCGAACAACCACCAGCTACACATTTATTCGGGATATTTTTTTAAAAACTATAAAAAAGTCTGTGACACAGTAGCTTTATAAATGTAAATAAATACAAGTTGCCGATGTTGGATTCCTCGCTCTACGTCACTGTAACCAGGCTCTCCATATTTCATTTTGCCCGGTCAGAAAATCCGATGTCGCCAAAAATCGCCATTTTTGCAAATATTTAAGCTCAAAACACAAGTTAACATTACAAAAAGCGAACTCGTTTTCACAAAAGACGTTTATTCTGGGGCTATACTTCTTGTTTATCAATTAAAAAAACTGGGTGATATGCACTTTAAAGATATCAAATTGAGCTACTTAAGAAAAGAAGAATTCTATTAATAGGTTACTGATTTAATTGGTAGAATAACATTGACGAAAGTAAGCGGTGACCTTCCATTTGAAAGAGAAATGCACAATTAGGCATAATTATACCAGATTGCTCAATCATATTTTAAACACAAGGAATCCTAAGTAACAATGATTGATTTATTACAGCTCTTAACATAAGACTATCAAAAAATTAATCCCTAAGAATCCGACAGACTAACACCATCAAGCCGTACCTCAAAGAAGTTTTGTTAGAGATAAACGTATATATTTTTCCTTAAACCTTGCCATATACGTCAATGTATACTTGAGGTCTTTACTTGAGTATAGTATTTCACTTTTATCTAGTTATGTTATACCCGTGCATTTAAGACTTATTAACATGCATGCATTTATATTTAGTATATATTGCAGCTTAGTTCAAAGTAATGATAAAAATTAATGGCAAATAACTGCTGTTGAAAACCTACATGATGATCTCCAATTTGATGTGGACAACAAAAAATTGTGTATGTACCATCCCCGTTATCTTTGACCTGTTCATAAAATAGCACATGATAAGGCAATGTATATAAAGCAGTAAAATACATCACTTTGACATATATCAAGAAAATTAATGCTAATTTCTTTGAAAAATTTTTATTTTGTTAAATGTTTTTTATCATAAATGCTTTTTTTTACGTTAAATTAAAGAAAAAACTTCTATGAAAAGCAATCAAGACAATTGCAGTAAAGAAATATCACTACATGTTAAAATACAAGAACTAAAACAAAATTTCCTGAATGAAATTCGAAAGCGTTTCACGAAACAATATCATTAGTGTAGTTTTCCTATATTTGTCGTTCGTCAAGTGTTTACAATCGCAGTCGCATGTGTTTCTGTGTAATATTGTCAAATACAATTAAAGGAAACTTACGTAATAAGCTATTATTTTCACACAGAAGTCTTATGGTAAAAAATATCAAATCTAGTACACTATAGGAAGTATTGTGTAGTCTGAATACGAAGTTATTAATAAAAGTTCTTACCTCAGGCGTAGTATAATCACCCGATGCAGACTGAATGCTTACTTGCAGTCTTCCCCCCCAACCACTGCACTGATTACCATAATCATCTCTTCAAAAGATAGTTGATTTTCAAAATCTTACAAGCGTTACAACCCTATTTCACGGTAATAGTCACAAAATCAGCCCAATTTTGACACAGTAACACAGAAAGAAGAAATAATGCTTAAATGTAATTTAAAATGTGAAATGCTAAGTGTTAAATGTTATGTACGAGATTAATTTCAAAGTCTGCAGCGCAATATGTTATGAACACAGTGTTTTGACTTTACTTGCCGGCTCATATTAGCTAAATGAGTTTTAATTTATGTACTGGAATTTGGTAATTAGTATGTGAAAGGTCTGTTCCAAGCCAAATGCTTTTCCCGTATGTACCGTATCAAAATTGTTACCACCACACTCCACCACATAAACCGTATTCATTTCCTGAAATCTTGCAAGTGTAATGTTTAGTAGAAAAGCATGAAATACACTAGTAACAATTGCCCGACTGGAATTTAAAATCATCATGCAAACTAAAAAATGATTTCTGCTATCAGTTGAGAGCTAAAAGATGACAGCTGCTATCAGTTCTGCGTACTTTACGTAATGTGATGAGGTTATTGTAACACATATCAGGCGAGTGTGTTTGTGTTAAAAATATTTTTCATCAACATTGTATGATAAAATTGTACGATGTGTTTTTTATTGTAAAAACTTGTCAAAAGAAAAGAGAAAAAGTTGAAAAATAAAACACACCAAATACTTTTTGAGATTCACGCAATTCACAAGGAATAGCTTAGCTCACCTATAAAAATCCTTGTTCGCAGCACTTGTGTACATGGTGTTCTAAATTGATATTTATAAAACGTGAGTAAAAACTTTGCTTACATACCTTGTGATAACATTAAATGACGATTTCTTGCCACGAGGAACTCTCGTCAATCTGCCAACGATGCGTGAATGGAGGGCATGTGCAGATGATATCTTGACATTCCCAAGCGTTTGAA